ACTTGGACGACACGCTGAAAGCGACGGCTAAGGAAAACAGAGCGCTGCGGGCTTGGGGAAAAGGAGATGGTAAGTCTTTGGGAGATTTGGATTAACCCTTATCATTAGCATTTCTTTTATATAATAATTGCGTTTCTTAACACTAGGTTTATGGATATTTATTGTACAATCTATTCTATTTTGTTTCTATTGGTCTTCGAGAAATTGACATTGATTCATTTAGATTTTAGAAATTAGAGATTTTAAGATAAATGAAGAGTTTGCTGCATGAGAGCACTTAAGTTGGCAGTAGTGGTAGCATAGCATTCTACGTCTGTTCTTCCCACGTGCATTTTTAAATTAAGTATTATGTCGAAGAGGTAAAACAAACAAAGAAGTAAAATGAACAAAAGAACAACTCTGTATTTTATAATATCTTCAGATATATTCTATTCGTTTTGTAGGGCAGTGTATTTAATAATGCATTTACAGTCCCACAATAGATAATTAAAAGACATTTGCATTATTGCATCAATCAATGTTGAGGTAAAGATTTAATAAATAATGTTTATAAAATTCAATTGTGTTATTATTTTTAACTGTCTAGATAAATGAAGACTTGGGAAGAAATTATTTCAAGTAATATATAATTATCTGAATTATTGAGTTTCCATTTCATCGAGGCTTTCAGCAATCTAGATCATAAAAATGACAACTCGATTGACAATGATTTACTGTATAAAGAAATAATCGATGTTTTGTTCTATTTAATTAAGGATTTAAATTACTTTTAGTCGAGTTCAATTTAGTCTACTTGTTAAAGCAAAAAACATAAAAATAAGAATATTTCCATTTATAAAACTGACTGAGCAATATTTAATTAATTGTTACATCCGTATTATGTAATTTATATTAAGGTAATATTAAAGTTTACTACAAAAAATCTATTACATTAAAATATTTAATAACATACAATAAACAACTTAATTTATAATATTAAATTTGAATCGAAGAGCTCCAAGTTGTTCGTGGAAAAAATTAGAAAACACATTGACTTTACCAGTAGAATATTGTAAGCAAACGACATTACATGTTTAAACATATTTCAACAGTACAGTTTTTCTTTTGTGTAATTACGTGCGCATCAATATTTTATGTGCGCTGATATTTCATTCGTTGATTAAATGTTTATTCTCGGTGTATTATTCTTTCACGATCCTATCTACAAGAGCAGCTAACGAAGCCTTCGGGGTTTCGTGACTGCACGCGGCCATTTTATTTCAAATTTTCACCCTCGATGGATTCTAACGTTAAAACCAGATAATCAGCTGCGATCATCTGGGCCTACCCTCCTTAACTCACTATAACTTCTGGCTAATAAACCCAATCTATCTTTTTCCCCATACACTTTTATGTGTCTTAAGGCGACGCATTAAGGCTCGAAATACTAATGTCAACCATTAATCTTTCCAAGACAAGTGTTAATTACGATTAGCGAATTCACATATTAATTCGAAATTACTTCGTTAAAATAAATTACGTAATATTAAAAGTGTGTAACCTTTTATTTTTACCACGTAACATTTATTTAGTTAAAATAAATACGTAATTAGAAATTTCGTTTACTTATGTACTATTATAGAATTTTTGTTTTTGTTGTTCTCCAGTTTGCATAGTAAATGAATATCACAATATGATTTTTAAAAATTTTACGTAATAATTATAATATCATTTAATTCCCTACGTAAAACTGACTTCGAAACACATTATTTTCGAGCAATTTATTTATAAAACTATTTACTATCACAAGAGTTTCTAATTTATTAACGATATAAAATTGTATTTTCTATCCCCTTGTTTATTAGAAATTTTAATTCATGTGAACTACGACCTTAACAATAAAAGTTCTTCAAGCAAGAAGGGAAAGACCTTTCTGTTGGTAAATAAGGAAAATAATGAGAGTGAAGGCTGCGCCATCGTGAAGTATAAAAATAAATTATTCATTCCACCAGAAAGTATTAATTAATTATTATAGTAATATAGAGGTGATATTATAATTACCATAGTGATATAAATATACAACTTTAGGCATAGACGAAGGAATTTTAAAGAAATCTTTTGTAAAAGAAAATGACTGCGGGTACGGATATAAAAGCTTCTGTATTTGATGCAAATGAATGGCAATTAATACGAGGTGATGAAATTCGTACCTATCAGCAGTGTAATAAATTATACGTCGTGACTTGTTAGTAAATTACTACTTTTGAGCACACCGCACTGCTTTTACTTGGAAATATCATTCTATGCGGTAATGAAAAATAATGTTTTACTTATCTGCTGCATAACCAGCTTGATTAAAGTTACTCATGGAATTAACTCATTAGGTGCCAGTCACGAAGTATCGCAGAAATTTCCCCGCGCGCAGGTATGTCTAAATATTATGATAAGCGCCGGCGAGAGTCTGAAATATTTTCGAAATTAAAATTTTCGCTGTTGACATTTAATCTTTGCCTTTCCATTTGGGTGGATTTAAAAATAACAATTTTAATATTCGAGATCGAGAAGAAGGTTCGATTAAATTGTTCTATAGAAAATTCCGTGAGCGTTGTTCGAACATGTTTCGTGCAACGGAAATTCATCGCGAATTATAATTACATGTTAAAATTAGGGTCACGGTAACAGTTTGTGTATGACCCACATATCAAATTTACGTGATTAATATGAGTAAATACTACAAAGACAAAAATAAAAATAATCGTAACGTTTTAGTATTCACCATGAAGCTAACGGTGTGCAATGAAATCGTTAACTGTCTTCAAAAATTGTTCGGACCACAGTTTGATTATGAGACTGCAGTAATAAAAGGACAATTATATAGCAAATGTTTATGCAGATGCATATTTTTATCGAGTATGGCCATAAAAACGGAACTTAGATAAAAGTCGGTTTTACTCGTACGAATTTTAATGACGTGCATTTTTATTTCGTGTAAAAATGCTTGTATCTTGCACGCCAATACATATATAAAATACTGCGCATAAAACTCTTTTCAATTTTTATTCACTTTTTCGGTATGAAAATATTCAATAAAAAATGTTAAATTTTGTAGATATAAAAACATGTACAAACATGCCAAATATAATATTCTTTTTTCGCTCTGTCAATATGCAGGCACATATGAAATAATTCCTGTTGCAGTAAATAAAAAAAAACTGTGTACCGTTCGAAATATCTAGAACTGATATCACTGCAGAGAATATGCAGATTATATTATAATGTGCAGAACGCACGAGCATATTCAAAATACATTGAAATATGCAGAATAAATCAGAATATACAAAACACGTTGGAATATACAGAATACATTTGAGCCATCTAGAATAAATCAAAGCATGCAAAATCCATTGGAAAATACACAATGAATCGTAATAATTTCATTTAATTACTTTATCATGTTTCGTCTCTTCTGAACATTTAAATGGTTTATGTATGTTTTATACAATTTTCCCTATATATCCTGCATTCGCAGAGTTACAAAAGTGTTCGAATTACAAAAGTTAATGTCTGCATTAATTAGAAGAATTGTACTTTGACACTCAAGGCGTGGATCACAGTCGCAAAAGCAAATGAAGCATTTGTTAATTGAATAAACATTGTGTAGAAAATATTGTTCCGGCATAGAAATGAAACAGTTTTTCATTAATTAACCAAACGTCAGATTTATAATGCATTCTCTTTTTCCTAAGAAAAAATAATATAGCATAATAATTGGATTGTATAATTTGATGCATTTATAGAGTTCAAAAATCAATATAAAATATATTAATACAATACAACATACAGGAAGTAAGTTAAATTTGATTTAATATAATATTTTGTTAACACTTTTATTCAAATATATTTTTATACTAATTTTTGCAATCCAATATTAATTGAACTCAGTGATCTTCTAACATTAAATTAATTGCAAAGACAAATATTTTGTTATTGACACTGTGTCTTTAATTAGTACACGACTTCACTCGTGATAATAAACGCAATCACATCTTGAGGAATGGGTACCAGCATTTGAATACTATCTATTGATATTCAAGTCTATTTCATGCATCATTTGTGGGTTACCAGTTTTCCCAAAGACCAATAAGGGAACCGAATAGGCAATGAATAATGATGCGTTTATTGACAAGATGTCTCATCGTGCAGTCTAATTTCAACCAGCAGATTCCAAAACTATTCTCGTGCATTTCAATCAGTTCTATAAATAACCTTCAATTCTGAAAATAAAACAACATTTGTGGCATATATTTTATTCATCTTAAAATACCAAAAATATTTCAAAACTTCCCATAACATTATTGTTTAGTAATTCATATAATAACAATGATGCTTTCAAAATGTTTAACTGGTAAACATAAAGAAAATCAAAAATTGCATCGTTTATTTTTCGTGAAAACTGACGAGACGTGTTTAATATTTAATTTAATTTACTTAATCTATGTTATTAATCTTATAAAGAATTTTGATTATTTACATAATAAGAATCTATCTAACTTACTGGCTTTATTTTATGAATTTCTTAAATAATTTTTATTATTTGTTTATTAAATTTTTATTTAATTCACTTGTTTTATTTCACAAATCATTTAATGAATTTTGATTTACACGACCTCGAGTATAAAATAACTATAAAATTTTGTGCTCTCAAATACTATTATTTATTTATTCGTTTGACTATACGTTACTAATTTATATCATATGGACGCATAATATATCTTACAGTGGACGTATTCAAACGCTTCTTAGAGAATGAAAAGAAACGTTGTTTTTACGTAATTGGGGATCAATTGCAAACGTTTTATGAGGATGAAACTATGAGATAAATTCACAAGGAACCTGTGCTGCTTTATCCCATTCTTTACTGCTTACTGCTTACAAAAACATAATCCGCTTAACATTCATTCTTTTCCTTTATAATCTTCATAAGCTTGTATACAATACTTATACAGAGTGTCATATAACTTATAATTTGGAGAACGAACGGATTTAATAAAAGAAAATGGACTTGTAACTTATAATAAACTTCTCATATC